CATTATCTTATGCCTAAGGAATTTGTGATACATACTGATCATGAATCAATTAAATTCCTTAAGGGTCAGTGAAAGTTGCATAAAAGACATGCGAAGTGGATTGCATTTATTGATTCCTTTCCATACATCATTAGGTGTAAGAAGGGGAAAGATAATGTCGTTGCGGATGCATTGTCTAGGAGGTATACTTTGATCACTAACATGAGTACTAAGCTACTTGGTTTTGAGCACATTAAAAGTATGTATGCACATGATGACGATTTTTGTAATGTGTTTCAAGCTTGTGAACATGCTGCATTTCAAAAGTACTATAGGCATAAAGGTTTCTTGTTCAAGGAAAATTGCCTATGTATTCCCAATTGTTCGCTTAGGGAATTACTTGTTAAAGAAACCCATGGTGGAGGGTTGATGGGACATTTCGGTATTGATAAAATTCTTGACATTTTGCATGAACATTTTTATTGGCCTAAAATGAGGCGTGACATTGCTAACATTTGTGATAAGTGTTTAAAGTGTAAGCAGGCAAAGTCAAGGAGTAACCCTCATGGATTGTATACTCCTCTACCCGTACCTCATGCTCCTTGGACAGACTTATCCATGGATTTTGTGCTTGATTTACCAAGATCTTATAGAGGTATGGACAGTATCTTTGTTGTAGTGGATAGATTTTCTAAAATGGCTCATTTTATCCCTTGTAGGAAAACAAATGATGCACGCCATGTTGCTGATTTATTCTTCAAGGATGTGGTTAGATTGCATGGAGTACCGCGTACTATTGTAAGTAATAGGGATGTGAAATTCTTAAGCTATTTCTGGAAATCACTTTGGGGAAAGTTGGGAACTAAGTTGCTGTTTTCTACTTCTAGTCATCCCCAAACGGATGGTCAGACTGAGGTAACCAATCGAACCCTTGGTGCTTTACTTCGAGCCATTGTTCAAAAGAACTTGAAAAAGTGGGAAGAATGTTTGCCTATTGCCGAGTTTGCATATAACCGAACCACTCATTCTACTACTAATCATTCTCCTTTTGAAATTGTTTATGGGTTTCAGCCGCTAACCCCTCTAGATTTATCACCTATTCCTGTTGATGAGTGTTTAAGCGCAGATGGTGTCAAAAAGGCAGAGGCTGTTCGGACCTTGCATGAGAGAGTTTGAGGTCAAATTCAGAAGAAAAATGCGCAATATGCACACCATGCGAATAAGGGGAGAAAACATGTTGTATTCGAACCCGGTGATTGGGTCTGGGTGCACATGAGGAAGGAAAGGTTTCCAGCATCTCGACGGACCAAGTTACATCAAGAGGAGATGGACCTTTTCGTGTACTAGAGAGAATCAACGACAATGCATATAAATTGGAACTTCCAAGTGAGTATGGCATAAGCGCATCTTTTAATGTGTCTGACCTATCCTCTTTTGACTTTAATACAGACTTTGAAGATTCGAGGAAGAATCCTTTCGAGGAGGGAGGGAATGATGCGGATACGGGTGCGCAACAACTCCAACCTTGGGTCAGGGACCCTTTGATCAACATTAGTGGTCCGATGACAAGATCAAGAACCAAGAAGGTGAAGGAAGCTTTACGAGCCTTGATCATTCACCATACAAGCAAGGAGCAAACTAGGTTTGAAGAGTTGATGGACCATGAAGTTACTTTGTTCACTTGTACGTTTGAAGTGAATGAATGATCTCATACTTGTTAGCTTAGTTGGTAGTTGTTTTAAGACTGTCTAGTTTAGTAGTTGTTAGGCGTTGAGTATTTTATTACTTATTGGGCCTTATCGGAAAGCCTTAAAGAGCTAGCTCTTTAAACTCTTTTATGCGGACCGAATCTCTTCCAGGTTTATGTGGGCCGGATTTTGCCCCAGTTTTAGCCTATAAAAGGCACCTCTTGTAAGAGGAAAGGACAGATTATTACAACCAGAAATTGTGAGGAATTTTCCTTCAAGTTCTTAATCGAACTTACTCTTGAATTCTTGAGTTCATGATTTAGGATTCAAATCTGACTTTATCGATTAGTTTGTTCCCTAATCGTGGTGTCTCTTCATCCATCTTTATTTGCTTAAGGTTGCTGATTACCTTTGTGTGTCAGAGGTCTTGAGTTCATGAGAACAATCGAGTTCAATTTCTATTGGGAGAAAAGATCCAACTCTGATAATTACAAAGTTAGGAGGTTCTAGGAGGGTCTTCTCCTAGGGTTGCCTATATCAGCTACTGTGCGGCGGCCCCCCATGAAGCCGAAGACTCCAGCCTTTTCTTCTTTTTCGATGTTGTCTTCTGCAAATTACGAAAAAGGGGTCCAATCTTGATATTCCAAAAATGCCCCTGGATGTCTGCTACTTGAACTTTTTCCTGATGACTGCCAAATTGGCACTTGTTATGATATTTTCGTTCTACTCCCTGAAATAAATGCAAATTGTCAAAAGTGAGTAGAATCTAATAATTAATTCACGTCGGACCAGGTAATAGGAAAAATTAATAATAAAATAAATGATAAAATTGTAACCTATCAATTCTCCCCACACCTAAACCATGCTTGTCCTCAAGCATAAGAATAGCAAACAAACACCAATATTGGACAATGGCTATTGCTCCATCTACCATATTGCCAAGATATTAAGAAAAACATAGACCAAGCATCAGTGATCAAGATCCAAGAAACATCACCCCAGTTAGTTTCTAAACCACAAACTCCTTCAATTCGAGGTTAACTAATCTAAGAAAAAGAAATGGCGCACAACATTTATCAGCAAATGGTCCAAATATTAACCAAAATTTCAACATTAAATTCACAAATTGGCAAGCTGACTTCTATCACACACAACCTACACTTTGTTTTCATGTTTCTATTATTTATTTTCTCTTTCTTTTTTTCTTTTTTTTTGTTTTTAAAACAGCACAAAAGACTTAGTCTCTAGCAATTGGAGCCTTTTGACGCGAACTCCGACATTTTTCAGATGAAGGAGCCCGGTTACTCAACTCCTATCGTTATACGACCACGTATTCATAGAAATTACTACTTTTTGATGTGAGAATCGACACTTTCGGTGAAGATCTCCGGTTACTCAGTAGTAACAAATAGCGGAGTACAGTCAACCTCATTTACAGCCAAATAACACAATAACGCAGAATAATACCGCTAAAAATAAAAATAGGTGTAACTAGCCTCATTATTGCCAAACATGGTGAACTAAAGTCAATATTGGACCAATTCACATTCTGTTGGCCTAATCAGCAACATCCCTCAGATCCCGGCTTGAAGGGACTAATCGCCCAGCCCGTGGCACCCAGGGGTGCAGCCCCTCATGCTGGCCGAGCGTGGTACGGTGCTTTGCGCTGCCATTGTGGTGAAGGAAATAAAGTTGCGCCTTCGCTAACAGCTATAGCTTTTGGTGCAATGGTAAGGGCTTGATCCTGACAAGTGGTATCAGAGCGAGGTCGCGGGTTCAAGTCTCCCTGGCTGTTGCTGGGGGAGGGATTGTTGGCCTAATCAGCAACATCCCTCAGATCCCGGCTTGAAGGGACTAACCGCCCAGCCCGTGGCACCCAGGGGTGCAGCCCCTCATGCTGGCCGAGCGTGGTACGGTGCTTTGCGCTGCCATTGTGGTTAAGGAAATAAAGTTGCGCCTTCGCTAACAGTTATAGCTTTTGGTGCAATGGTAAGGACTTGATCCTGACACATTCAAATGCCAACAATCATTCCCTATACCCAGAAAAGTTAACAAAGAAATTACAAGAGCCAAACAATCACCGATATTCACCAAAAAGATGTTCTTGGATTCAACCACATTAACTCGATACACTTTTATTATTAAAACTTGGCAATAGTAGAATTAGAGTCAACAATCCAATATCAAACTCCGGCATTCACATGAGAGCTAATCACTAAAAAAGAAAGAAAGAGACCAAACGAAAATAAGCAAATAACAAACTAGAAATAAAGAAAAAACACCTAAAAACTAAAAACTACTAAAAACTAGAACCACAACTAATCCCCCCCACACCTAAACGATACATTACCCTCAATGTAACAAATAAACATCAAAAGTAGAAGAAAGAGCAACAAAACTTCCCTGAAGTCGGGTCAAAGTGGTGGGTGATAACCAAATTAAGGCGTAAACCCTGCATGATGCATGAATGCTGCTAAATTCTGCGCCATGCTATGCACGTTAGCATCAATGTTGGTCATCCGAGCCTCCAAATTCTGAACCTGCGTCCGGAGTTGTTGCCATTCAGCAACCCCTAGAGGTGGAGGTGCAGGAGAGAGAGAGAGAGAGAGAGACTGAGGTCGCGAGGCGCACAACGGCGGCGCGCGGAGAGGGGAGAACGGCGGCGCTGCGAGCGAGGTGGAATTGGCGGCGGGCAGCAAGCTTCGGTCGAACAAGAGAAGAAACAGGAAAGAAGAAAGAAAGAAAAGAGGAAGAAAGAAAAAGAAAAGAAAGAAAAAACAAAAGAGAAAAACAAAAACAAAATAGTTTTTTTTTGTTTTTTCTTTTTTTTTTCATTTTTTTCATTTTTAGATTTTTTGTAAATTCTAATTTTGGAAATCAGAAGTTATAGCTAAATGGAAAGACCCTTTTTTTTATAATTAAAATTTTTTTTAAAAAAAATTTTGTTAAATTTTTTTTAATTTTTTTTGAATATTATTATTATGAACAATACTTATTGTCGAAATTCAAAATTAGAGAGTAACAGGAAATCGAAATCTGTTTTTGAATTTTGAATACTTACCTTTCCCGCGAACGTGACGTGGGCACGTCAAGAGGGCAGGAACCCTTCTGACCATGAGCTCTCCATACGACTTGACGCGGGCCCGTCATGTCAGAGAGACACCTACGAATCATCAAAAACGAAAATTGAAGACCGAAATCAGTCAAACTCAAGGAAAACATATTTAAATTATCAAGCAAAACTAAACAAACAACTAAAAAAAATAAAAATTGAGTTGCCTCCCAATGAGCGCATTTCTTTAATATATTTGGCTAGACATTAAACACCACTCTTCAATTTGGGTGTAACTCAATTTTCCTTATAATCGGTGGCCCTTCTCCAGGATCCAAATAGCTTTTGAGTGCAGCATTCTTTCTTAATTTTCTATTCCTTTTCACCTCATACATTGCTTTCATCCCCTTATACTTGTTCTCAGTAAATTTGAATTTGCCCTTACAAGCAAACTCAGAAAATTCTTGCACAGAGGGATTAATAGCTTGAATAACAAACACAGAGTGAGAATTAACAGGATGTTCCATTGTATCAAAAATATTAAAGTGGACTAGTTCTCCCTCAAATTCCATGGACAATGTACCCTTATTAAAGTCAATTTTTGTCTGTGCTGTACTCAAAAAAGGTCTACCTAGTAGTAAAGGTGAGGGGTCAGGGGAATGGTCATCATCCATGTCAAGTACATATAAGTCAGCTGAAAATACCAATTCATTAATTTTAACCAGCATATCCTCGATCAACCCATCTGGGTATGCATTTGTTCGGTCAGCTAATTGAATTATTATTTCGATTTCTTTTAATGAACCGAGATTCAGAAAAGCATACATAGATTTAGGCATTATGTTGATCGATGCTCCCCATTATGTTGATCGATGCTCCCCAGTCCAGCAGGGTATTCCTAATCAAAGTATTACCTATCCTACATGGGACAGTAAACCTACCTGGATCCCCGCACTTCGGTGGGAGATTCCTCTGCAAAACTGCGGACACATTCTCCCTTACGATGACTCTTTCATCTCCCCTTAGCCTCCTTCGATTGACACACAGATCCCTCAAAAACTTTGCATATTTCGGCACTTGTTTGATAGCGTCTAATAGGAGAATATTGATCTCCACCTTGTGGAACACCTCCAAGATCTCCTTCTCCTTATCCTGCTTCCTCGATTTCTCTAACCTGATAGGAAAGAGAGGCGAGTTAGTTTTTACTGTAATGGTTGGGTCTGTGAGTACCTTTGGATCTGTGTCATTGCTGCCCTCCTTTTCAAGCTCGCTTTCGATCTTTTCCTCATCCTTGTCCTTTGAAATAGTGAGGTCAGGTTCTTGGATTTCCTTCCCGCTCCTTAAGGTCGTTGCACTTACGTTCTTCAGGTTTAGTTCAGGTTGGGATGGCAATTTTCCGTTTACTTGAGACTCCAGACGGTTGATTGATATTGCCATCTGACTTATCTGACTCTGCATCGCTTGCATCTGACCCATCTGATTTCTTATGTTCCGCAGTTTGGAGTCCGTCTTTTGTTGGTGTTGTGCAGTATTAGCCATCAATTGTTTCATCATATCTTCCAAAGATGGACTGGCGCACGGTGGAGGTGGTGGTGGTCGAAATTGATACTGCTACTGGTACCCTTGTTGTCTACTTGGCAAAAAATTGGACTGTCTATTTCCTCCATAACTGAAGTTGGGATGGTCCCTCCAATCAGGATTATAGGTGTCCGTATACGGGTCATATTGATTTCTTGGTGCAAGCGCGTGGCCAGCCATGTTTACTTGTTCCGCATTTTCCTCTTAAACCAGTGGACACATCTCCGTAGAATGCCCCAGGGCAGTGCATACCCCACATACTTTGGCTTGTGGGGCATTTCTCACATCCAGTTGTCGCACGAAGGACGTCAATTCAGAGAGTTGTTGTTGGATGGAGGATGTTTCTATCTCATTCACTCTACGCGTCGGGACATCCTCTCTTGAACTGAACTGCTGTGAATTCTCAGCCATCCCTTCGATCAACTCCCATGCTTCTCGAGAGGTTTTGTTTACCAACGCTCCTCCACTTGCAGCATCGATTATGCCTCTGTCCCTGAAGAGTAGCCTTTCATAAAAATATTGGATGAGCACACTTGATGCTGAGGACACTTATCTGATGCTGAGGACACTTGATGCACAACTTTTTGAATCTTTCCCAGTACTCATAAAGAGACTCGCCTGGGTGTTGCTTGATGCCGCATATCTCTTTCCTTAAGCTGGCAGCCCGAGATGCAGGGAAGTACTTTTCTAGAAATTTTTTCTGCAACTGCTCACAGGTGGTGATATTGCCTTGAGGTAGGTAGTATAACCAATCCTTCGCCACGTCCTTAAGAGAAAAAGGGAACGCTCTCATTTTGATCTGTTCTTTAGTAATTTCAGAGGGTTTCATACTAGTGCAGACCACATCAAATTCTTGCAAGTGCTTGTGCGGCTCCTCACCTGGAAGACCATGAAAAGAAGGTAAAAGGTGAATCAATCCGGACTTTAATTCAAAGGGGATATTATCATTCAAATTAGGAAAAATGATGCATAAGGGTTGTTGATTTAAATTAGGTGCGGTCAACTCCCTTAATGTTCGTGCATTCGCCATGGTGACTTCCTCTTGGTTTGTATCACTTGAATTATCACCATGCAAATTTGTCGACTCCACCTCTGGATTAAGTCCCTGAGGTGCAGCACTGGATTGCTCCTCTCTGAGCTGTCTAGTTTTTTTTCTAGTTTGGCATGCAGTCTTCCCTACTTCATGGTCGAAAATCAATTCGCCTGTAAGAAAAGAACGAGGCATAAACTAGAAAAAAATACCAGAAAATTAAAATAAAATAGAATTTAAAAAGAAACAAATAATTAACGCCAATTCCCGGCAACGGCGTCAAAAATTGACAGGGTGTCGAAGCCTGTACAATAATAAAAATAAACCTAATTGCCAGTTAAAGTAACCAAAACTCGATTCCAAGTACTGGAGCAGGGACTCTAGGTGTGCAATGGGTTACTTGATTCACCCTATTCCCGAAGAATTTGTTTGATCCGATATATCCGAATGAGATGGTTCTTTTCACAAATAATTATGAATTTGTAGACAGGGCAAGTAGGGTCGTATTCTCAAGGATTGGGGATATTTGTCTCTTTAGAAATCTAAAATAACACAGGGGGTGTTCTTGTATAAATGATGACAATCAAAGAAATTCAAATAAAAATAAAAATGAATAGCTAACTAGAAATTAAATGACAATTCTCTAAAATTAGAGTGACAATAATTAAAAGTCTAGCCAAGAAATAATTTCAGCAATGGTTCACCTAATTGATCATCGATGCACAAGCAATTTCAATTATTTATTAATAAATAGGTTATAACTGCCAAACAAGCGATGACAGTCAACCTCTCCTTACTGTGTCGGTGATTAAGGTACGTCCGTTAATCACTGCTCTAATTGAGAAATAATCTTAGGTACGCCCGTAAGATTTAATTCCCTAATTGCCTTACGTATTAGAGGAGCCCTATTCTAATCAAATAACGCACTACCAGGGTTATTTTAGATTAGCCTGCGTATTCCCCTGATACAAATCTAATCATGCCAGTTGTCACTATTTCAATACAATTAAACAATTACGGATTTAACTCTCTAATTGACAATGGGTTACCAAATTAACTAATTATCCGGATCCAAAACAATCAATTAATTAAATAACCATAAGCACCACAATCAGGAAATTGCAAATACCAATAAATAAGCGAAAAAGATAAAATTAAATCGATCTCACAATTTTTAGGCGAACCAAAACATCCGTTGTTTCTTGACTAGACAAATGGGTTTAGCTCATTGTTGATGAGAAAAACCCATACAAAACTGAAGCAAGAATCGCGGCCATTGTCTGCGTTTAGGAAAGCTCAATTCGTCCGCACAAATGAAAGGGAAACGGAAGTCACAGAGACTGATGGAATCCTTCTATGGCTCCTGACATAACAGGGAGCATTACTACTCAAAGCCACGAAGGAAAAGTCAAAAGAAAAGCTAAGCTAAAGGTCCAAGTAGTGCTAGTTCTTTGCTATTTCTATTTCCTATCTAAGTAGCCTACTGCTACTGTGCGGCGGCCCCCCATGAAGCCGAAGACTCCAGTCTTTTCTTCTTTTTCAATGTTGTCTTCTGCAAATTACGAAAAAGGGGTCCAATCTTGATATTCCAAAAATGCCCCTGGATGTCTGTTACTTGAACTCTTTCCTGATGACTTTCAAATTGGCACTTGTTATGATATTTTCGTTCTACTCCCTGAAATAAATGCAAATTGTCAAAAGTGAGTAGAATCTAACAATTAATCCACGTCGGCCCAGGTAATAGGGGAAATTGAAAATCAAATAAATGATAAAATTGCAACCTATCAATTCAGAATCAATCAAGTCATAGGAACACAGCAACCTTCTAAATTTGTTCATGGCTAATGGAACCCAAAACGAAAATATAAGATGTATTTTGCTATTAAGTCGAAAACATAAAAATCTAAATAGTCTGATGTATATTGCATGACGTGAACTGCTGTATGACAATGAACTTGATGCCTTGCCATTTATGTAATCAATGACACCTTCTTGTTCTTTAGAAACTTTCTACCAAAGTCTTAAAAAAAACATTGAAAAGTGCACAAAATTTTTTTAACCCCAGAAACCTAGAAAATAAAAAAAATTAATACGTTGTTGAAGACAATTAATAAATTGTCAAAGGCAATTAAAAAATCATGTGAAAACACATAGTTTAAAAGGCCACTTTTAAATTACTAACCAAAAAAGCAATATGTGTTCTACTTGAATTGAAGAGTGAATCCATAAATTGAAGTAACAAATTAATTACAAAAACCTTGCCAGAAATAAAAATCAAACTGTAACTTTTGAAGACTTCGAAAATTCAAATTCAATGACCTAACTATGAAGAAGGTGTAGGAAATTACAAACCACATACAGCGAGCATAAACAAAGTCCAATGCGGTCCTTGCATTGAAGGGAACAAAAACGAAATTCCAAATCCGGTCCTTGCATTGAAGTAAAAAAAAAAAAAACTTTCCAAAAACATTGTGGAAAAGTGTAAACATCTGCACTGCTTGATAAAGTGATGAGTAATAGATCCATAATCATATATATGAGTAAAAATGTAGAGCATTTTCGATAGCGATAATCTGATAAAAATAATCTAATATTTGAATTGATATTTCGAACTTTTGAGTTGAAGATGAGAGAGAGTTAAAAATATAATTCAAAATTATTTATACTAATCCCCTGAAAATTTAGGCTTGACGATTAGGGTTAAGGAAAAAAAAAAGGTGAGAGAATAGAAGAGATAATTATAGAAGGATTATCTAAAATTGTAAAGTCAAGAAAAAAAAAGAGGGATAAAATAGCGTAGGTTATTAGGGGGTTAACTCATAAACCGGCGTTGCACCTTCTTGCTATGTCGATAAGCCACGTAGGAAAGAGATAAACTAAAAGGATAAGGATGAGAATACGACTTTATTATATATATATATATATATATGCTTTTTAGTGCCCTTATTTTTATTATTATAGTTTTCATTCTATTTATATGTGTGTGCTAAGCCATTTTTAGTGCCCTTATTTTTATTATTATAGTTTTCATTCTATTTATATGTGTGTGCTAATTTATGAGCTTATTTTCTCTTTATAAAAGATAATATCTAACAATATGAAAGGGGGGAGTTGGGTTATGAATAGTGCTTTTTGGTCAAGCGATTATGCTGCAATTATTGTTGGATGTGGAGGCTATTTTTGTCAATTGGCTATTTTGGTTATGCGTGCCTCTCTTTCTATGCAATTTATTACTCATTGCATTGGGTGGGGTAGTTATCTACCATGTTGACAAGAAGCTTCTAATTGCATGATTTCCAAAAATTGAACCGAAAAAAAAAATAGAAGTCTAACATTGTCATCACAGGTAACGAAAATTGGCTAACGTGTCAAGATTTGGAACTAAAAATGGTTTATAATCCTTCTACTATTTAAGACGCGCAATTAAAAAAAAATATTAGTCTATTAATCCATATTAAATGTATACAATTATTACAAATTTTTTGATGGCCTTATCTTTATTGTTATTTTTCCATTTTATAAACATAAAGTTATTTCCGCCTTGTATGTGAGTTAGATTGTTAACTAACTTCCTTTTAAAAGAATTAATTTCTTATTTTACTAACATATTCGTATTTAATATATATAATTATTATAAATGTTTTTAACACATTCATTTTTCCTAATGACTCTAAACTGAAAAGCAATATGGTGTGCTATTTTTTTTTTATTATTTTAGTCAAACATGTAACATTAATTAGATTGTTTCTTACATTAGAAAACTAAAGTACTCTAAATTTCAAAAAAAAAATAATATAATTATATATATAATACAAAAGGGAGAGTTGCCCTATGAATGGTATTTTTGGTTAAGTAGTTATCCTGCAATTATCTAACAATATAAAAGGGAGAGTTGCCCTATGAGTAGTGTTTTTTTGTCAAGTGGTTATCC